GATTAAAGTATTTCAGACCGTCAATGAACGGTCTGAACCAAAAGTAATTCAGTCTGGAACCCGTCTAGTAAAATAATGAACAAAGCTTGCACGGAGGGAATTGATAATTAGTTTTTTCGAACCGGTTGCTGGCTGAATAAAAAATGGCGTGAATTGGAAAAAAAAAAAAAAAAAAAGTGCCAACATATTTCAAACCGTTAACGGTCTGTATAATAATTCCAAAACAGTAATTAAAAAAATTATAGTAATTTCAGACAGTAAATGGTCTAGAAATGTAGCAAATAAATAGGACTTTTTTGTGTTGTTATTTTTGGTTGTTAACGGTCTGGAAAAATCTCTGCAGAGAACAGATAGGATTATTGAATTTTGGTTAAATGCTAAATTTGGTCCCTTAACTTTAGTGAGTTGCACATTTTTGGTCCCTCAATAATTTTTTGCACTTTTTTGATCCTTCAACTCTACGACATGCACACTGTTAGTCCTTCTATTAATTTAAACCGTTAATTCCGTCATGTGGCATTTTTTATATTTTTTTTTATGATATGGCAAAAACAACATTAAAAAGTGCTGATTTGGAATTTTTTTTTGATAACGTATCAATGCCAACTCATAAACTAAAGTTGTTTAGGATTTATATTTTTAATAAAAAATAAAAAAGTTCGACTCATCTTTTTCCTTTTTTTTTCTTCTTTCTTCCTCTTCTTCCTCTGTTGTTGGGTCCCTTGAACCAAGCCATCTAGGTTCAAGGGAAACCGGCAGATCTGGGTTCCATCGAACCTAGATGGCTGGGTTCCCTTGAACCCAGATGGCTGGGTTCCTCGAACCCAAATCTACTGGGTTCGGTGGAACCCAGGCTGGGTTCCATCAAACCCAGCAACTGAGTTCACCAAACCCAACTCCACTTATTTATTTATTTTTTTTTTTTTGTTATATGTTTGTTTGAAGAGATTTTTATGTAAATTGCAGGTTTTGGGGGATTTTTAAGATCTTTTTTTTCATATTTCTTAAGTATCATCTAAATTATTTCAATGTTTAAAATGGAAAGAACATCACCGGAAATGGAAAGAACAGAAGCAATGACTAATGGGTAAAGAAGCAATTCTTAGTGGGTTTTCATTTGTTTGGCTAGAAGGGTATTTGGATGCTGAGAAAATGTTTTCTATTTGAATATGGCAAAACGTTTTATCCATGTCATTACTTTTTTAAATTTTACGCTCCACATCATCAAAAAAAATATAAAAAATTCCACATGTGTGAAGTTAACGGCCGAAGTTAACAGAATGACTAATAGTATGCATTTGTTAGAGTTGAGGAATCAAAAAAGTGCAAAAAATTGTTGAGGGATAAAAAAAATGTACATTTCTTAAAGTTGAGGGACCAAATTTAGCATTTAACCTTGAATTTTCTTGCTGATTTTGGTTTCAAGTTGGCAAAAATCCTCCTTAAGCCCTTCAACTTTTTCAACAACAAGTGACATGCCCCTGAATTAAAAAAGTGGCAAATAAGCCCTCCAACCTCACGTTGGGTGCAGATCAGCCCTTCTGCTAACTGATTTTGTGATGCCATTTGTCGTTGGCTTGCGTGCATTGCACTTGTACGCCTTTGCATTTCTTTTTTTTTTTTTTTTTTCAATAATAATATATATTTTATAATTAATTAATTTTTTAATTTAATTAGTTGATATTATATAATATACATAACCTTAAGTTTTTGTTTAAACAAAATAATGATATATTTTTTATTTTAATTAATTACACATTTTACTTTAATAATCTTTATAATTTATTTCTTAAATTTAATTAAACTATATATCCTTAAGGAACATGCTTAAAATTCTTTTTATTAATTAGGTGATTTAATTAAATTTAAGAAATAATTTATAAAGATTATTGAAGTAAAATGTATTATCAATAAAAAAAAAAAATATATCATTATTTTATTTAAAAATATCACTTGACGATAAGTATATTATATAATATTAATTAATTAATTAAAAATATATTATTACTAAAATTAAAATTAAGTAAAGGAAAAAAAATGCAAATGTGGGTTGGAGGGCTTATTTGTCACCTTTTAATTCAGGGGCTTGTCATTTTCTATTGAAAAAGTTGAGGGGCTTAAAAAGGGGTTTTGCCTTTCAAGTTTCTTGTCGATTTCCTTGTTTCTTTCCCGACCGGTTAGGGTCTAGAAAATTCTGTACAAAATTCTGGAAAATTCTGAAAATATAAAATTTTATTTTGGTTAATAACCTGTTTAATTTCATTAAAATAGAGCTTGTGATTATTTAGAACAGGGTATACATATTGCATGTTTGTTGCTAACAAGGAGGAAGTCTAGTTTTTAAGGGAGATTCTGTTGAACTTTTAGGAATGCCTTATGAATTAATTGAAATTAAAGTGAGTTTTTTATTTTATTATATACAAATCATTGATCTGGATTAGTAACATATTTAATTTGGTTAAAATAGTGTTATTTATGATTATCTAAATGAAATTGTCTATATTGTGTGTTAATTTGTTGTTAACCGGGAGGAAGTATAGTTTTTAAGGGAGACTTTGTTGAATCTTTAGGAATGCTCAATGAATTAATTGATATTAATGTGAATTTTAATATTACTAAATATAAATTCTTGATCTTGGCTAGTAATATATTTCATTTGATTGAAATAGCATAATGTGTGATTATCTAGATTAGGTTGCATATATTGTGTGTTTATTGTTAATAGAGAGAAAATCCAGTTTTTAAGGGAGACTCTACAGAATTTTTAAGAATTTATTATAAATTAATCAAAACTAATATAATTTTTAAATTTTATTAAATACAAATTTTTTATTTGGTTACTAACAAATTTAATTTAATTGAATTATGATATCTATCTTATAAAAAAAAGTGTTATTTATTGTGTGTTTGTTTTTAATATTGTGATAGCTCAAATTTTAAAGAAGATTTTGTGAAATTTCTTGAAAATCAAAAAGGAAAATTATTACCAATGAGGGGTTGGATCAAGTGGCAAGCGGTTTATTCCAGCTTAAATAAGGTTTCGGAGTTCGAAATTTTGTGTACGCAACAGCCTTTATTGGGAGACCCACCCACCATTCTGGTGCACCACAGCTGATCGAATCTGGAGTAGTCGGGGCGAAGCCCCTGATACCGGGCGAGAAACCGAAAAAAAAAAAAGGAAAATTATTAACATAATTTCTCTATTTTATTAAACGTACGTTACACATAGCAAAGAAGTAAAGTTTTTAAGAAAGGTGGCTAAAATAAGACTATAAAAAATTTAAGTAATAAATAGTGGTCAAATCTAGAACTCCACCTCTTTAATACCTTTGTTTTCTTCATTTAAGTTGTATTATATTCAAAAGTTTAAGCTATTGGCATTGGACACAATGAGAATGCATTGAAACATAGCTTGATTCATTAGGCCGAAAGGGTTGATTCTAGTACTCTTATTCAGACCGAAGATGGTCCGAATAACTATTTCAAACCGGTATCAGTCTTTATAGATCAAAACCTCCAAAACCTCCTCATCCTCTTTTATTTTTACGTTTTGCATTTAAGGAGATGACTCATTTTCTATGACATGATTTTATTAATTAATGTTAACTATCTATTCCACAGGCCTAATGAGGTGTTCTAGTCTTATTATTTAAACCGTAATCAGTTTGAATAAGTATTTTAGATCGTCTTCGGTGCCAATATATTGACGCCTTTTGTTTCCCATGTTTCGCGAATGAAATGGCACAATTTTGGATATATTATTCAGATTGTTTTTGGTCCGAAAATGTTTGTTGCTTTTTTCCAAAAAAAATTAAAAGTGGGAATTAAAAATTTTCGCTATATTCAAACCAATAACAATCTAAAATAATAGACCACCAAATTTTCCCCAAAAAAAAAAAATCAAAAAGTTATTCATAGTGCACTAAATATTGAAATTTTTTATTTTAAATTGTTCACGGTCTGTATTGTTGCTGCTTATTTAAGGCACAACTGTTTTGTCCTTCCTTCTATTCTGTTCATCCT